TTAAAGTTTGTGTGAATTTAGAGTGAGGGTATATGTATTTCTGTCTTTTTCTTTCACGTAGAATCTTGCAACCAGGTAGGTTTTTTGAGATCATGTAGTCTTGGGGAGGAAATCTTGAAGTCCAGAATTTAGAACTCACTCAGGTCATACTGTGAAAGAGGGCAAATAGGGCCTAATGTACCAGTTTTGATTTTCACACACAAAAAATTTTAATCTGTGCTTAGAATATCCTTATAAGCATTGATTTAGTGCCAATATATTTATGTTCTCAGCTTTTATATTTAGAAAATCTCATGTAAATTTATCCGGTCATGTTCAGGAAAGTCTTAAAGAGCAAACCTTGAATAAAAAATAGCCACTTCTGGAAGTTATTCCGTTTTTTAATACCATTTCTTAAAGCCACAGGTATGATATATGCTCCCTGCAAAAGGTCAATTAGCAGATTTCCCAGGATATTTAAAGTTCTGTGTTATCTTCTAAATGTCACGTTGAAGTTAGAAATGTTGTTACATTTGGGAGAATTTTGCCATGAAATAGTCCATATGATGAACAAATAAATATTCCAGGTCAAGGATAAGGGAGTGGTAGGAAATCTTACTTTGCCTCCAGAAGCCTGAGATAAAGACTGATAAGGACTGCCACCTCAGTTCCCAAACAGTGGCCCGCTCCCTGACTGATGCCATATTGAAGTAGTCCTAGGACAGGTTTTCATGCTTTTTTAATATGGGAAAGGCCTGAGCCGGCACAGAAACTATGAGGTATGTCCTAGGAGAGGCTTGAAAGTATAAAGAGAAGAAAATAACCAATGTTGACAAAGTGTTGGTCCCAGTGAAGACCAGAGGGAGTGAGATTAAAGGCTCTGGTAGAGGGATGACCTTTGAACACCTCTTTTTCAGAGCCTGGAGGAAAAGGGGTGAGGCTACACATGGCTACAGATAACTTTGTTCATGTCTGAGTTTAAAGTTGGAAAAGTTCATGCCCAGTCCCTTCAGTTTTCCCTGTGAAGCAAGGCAAGGCCATCTTCTAAGAGATGTGCTGTGGGGAATAAGGGTTGGGATTGGAGGACAGTTGTGGGCATTTGGGATATCAGTTGTGGGAGTGGGGAAAATCACTGATTAGGGGCAGGTAAAAGTTTCCTCACAGCAGTGAGCATCCAGCTACAGTTGAATGCTATGCATGTGTAGTTTTATCAGTATGCCTGGTTAGGTTAATTCTCCACTAGTGCAGCACAACCTAGGTATAGAAAGAAAGAACAAAGATGATTGGAAAGATCCAAACATAAAAATTTCTAAGTTGACTGTATAGAAGGACCAAAATACAAAGACACTGAGGGTCTGGTGAGAGTGGTAATAGCGGTTCACCATGAGAGTTTGACAGAGGAGGACACAAAGCCATGAAGTGAGTGGTGCATCGGGGGAAAGGAGTGTAAACGGTCTCTGAGATGGAAGAACAGCTGTCCTAGGAGCAAGGAGATAAGAGATCTTGAAGGAAAGGAATGAGGAATCTATATGTGTTTTAAATCAGGGGTCAGCAAACTTCCTGTAAAGGGGAAGAGAGTAAGTATCTGTGGCTTTGCAGCCATGTAGATTCCGTTAGAACTTCTCAGCTCTGCCCTTGAAGTTGAAGGCAATTAAGATAAATAAAAAAAATAATAAACAAATGGACATAACTATATTTCAGTACACTTTATTTACAAAAGCAGGTGGTAGTCTGGATTTGTCTCAAGGACTATAGTTTGCTGACCCCTGTTCCAGATGATGACAATTTCCAGGATGTGGAGGAAGTTAAGTGGAAGTGAAGGTTGTTAGAAACCAAGGGGCTAAGATGCTATAAGACTAGTATATTGACTATAAACCACCTGGAGCTAACAGACATGGAGAGAACGCTCCACCCAATAACAGAATACACATTCTTCAAAAGTGCACAAGGAGCATTCTCCAGGATAGATGATATGCTAGGCCATATAAATTTTTAAAAGACTGAAATCTTAACAAAGTATGTTCTGTGATCACAATGGAGTGGAATTAGAAATCACGAGTCACTAGCAGAGAGAAAGTTGGGAAATTCACAAATAGGTAAAAATTAAATAATGCACGCCTCAAGTGTCAAAGGATCAAAGAAGAAATCACAAGGGAAATGATAAAATACTTCAAGATGAATTAAAACGAAGCCATAACACACCAGATCTGGGATGCAAATAAAGCAGTGCTTACAGGACAATGTATAGCTACAAATGCCTACATTTAAAAGGAGAAAGATGTCAAAATCAAAAATCTTATCATCCGCCTTAAGAGAAAGAAGGAGCAATAATGAGGTCTGAGATGACTTAAGGAGGTGGAATGGGATGAAAGCCAGACAGAGAAGTTGCCCTTAGGTGAGAAGCACAGTTTTGCTCCGTGACTGGAGCATAGCAACGTAGAATGGTCTACATGTTTGCTGTAAGACTAGAAAGTTTCCATCTTTACCACTTTCATCTGTTTTCTCTGTAAAGCTTGAGTTGAGGTCATTTGAAGAGAGTAAAGGGAAATGGAGCACTGGAAATCTAAGGCATAGTTTTTGGGTAAGATGATTGAAATAGTCCTTGTATGGCATTGACTAGAGGAAACTATTAAGAATTTAGGGCTGCTGAGGATCCTTTTGAGTCCAGTAGCAGTGTGTTACAGAGGAACTCCTGCTGTGCCCTGTTGTGTGAGTCCTTCAGCTGCATATGGGTGTGTGGGTGAAGGTACAGAAAAGGCAAATGTTTACATGCATATGCAGTTAGGGTTTGGCTAGGTGGGTGAGATGAGGAGATAAATAGGGAGGGAATCTGAGGATGTTGAAATGATGGGTCATGGTCATAAACTAGATAAGGAGAGAACTTAAAAAAGGAAAAAAGCTAATGAATAAAGAACAAAGAGAGGTCAGTTAACTGGAAGTCACCAGGAGGTCTAATGGTCACACTAGCTCCATGAGGGCAGAGAGCCTGTTTGGTTTGCTAATGCCTGGAATAGTGCCTGGCACATAGTAAATGTAAAATATTTGTATTTGTTGAGTGAATTGTCATAGCAGAGCAGGGATTGTTTAGTAAGAAAGCTGGAAGAATGGGAGGTTGTGGTCAGATTTGGATGCTTGAGTGAGTGATGGAGGAAGTGAAGCATTATGGGTAACACCTCGTGTATCTGACATGCACCTGCAGTAAGTTCTCAGTAACTATTAGCCTTTACCATTATGGGTTTTTTTGTTTGTTTGGTTTTTGGTTTTGGGGTTTTTTTTTTTTGCCTTCTATAGGAATTATTTATTTTTAGAGAACTTAAGTAGAGAGTCATTTTTCTACAAATAGGTGAGTTGATATTTCCCAAATAAGTATCATTTAAAGCCATTGAAACAATCAGGGTTGTTAATTCCACCTCCTAAGGGCAGGATAAACCAACAAAATACTAGTAGGAATGAACTTCTTTCCAAATGAGCCTAGTCTAGTTCTCAAAGCCAGAAGCTCAGAGTACTTCTAAGGCTTTCTGTTGATTTATTTAGCTTGTCACCGGTTTGGACAATTTTAGATTCGCAACCCTTGTATGACTTCTCTAAAGTATACTGACCTTTTGGTAGGCTTTGAACGACCTCTTTTGGCTTTTACAATAGGCCTGAAGTCTCAGTTAAAAATAGGGATTGCTGTTTGCGGAGGAAAAGTTTACAGAAAGAGACTGAAATTGGCAATAATCTGATTTTTAAACAATGCCAGTCTTTTCCCATTTAGCAAAATGTATCAAAGAAGTATTTTGATTCAGAGGATTCATGGGGTTTTTTTTTTTTGATAACTTGCAGTAATTCTCACCCTGTTTCTCTCCCATACCACACCGTATAATTGTACACAGTAGATAGTCCATAAGTCTGTACTGGCTGGTCTTTAATTATTTAAGAAGCAGGTCTCTGAAATGCCCTTTTCTCTACCTCTTTGCCTGGTAAGTTTCTCTTGTGATCCAGTTCAAATATCTGTGAGATTATTCTCCGCTCTTACAAGTGATAAGCAAGCCCCCGTCCTTAGAGTAGTTCTCAGCTGCTTTCCGTCATGTTGCCATTATTTACTTGCATATCTATTCCTCATCCTTGCCTTTTATCCACCAAGGAGCAGAGATTTTGGCTTATTCATCTTAGTATCTCCAAACCTTACGTGTGCCTGCCGTGCACGAAGTGCTCCAGGTTTGTCTGGCAAATAGTATGGCAGTGAGAAAACTCATTCTACAAGCACACTGTAGGCTTATGTTGGAAAACACTGCCCTCCAAAGGCTTTTGCCTCTTTAAAATCTTCCTGCAGTTAGGATATTACTGTTAGGTGAGCAATGATTAATTGAGTATAGCTCTGTAATCCAACCAGTAGATGTAATCAACTTAGAGAGAAGTTAGTCTTTTTTCCTACACTAACTTTTTAAAATCAAGCATAAAGCATAGTTGATTTTCAATATGTGTTTATTAAAAGTACAGATGTCCACCAAAATGTTAACAGTGACCTTTATTTTGGTGGCTTTTTTTTAACTTTTGTCTTTACTTTTTTTTTCACTTTTTGAATTTTCTATTTCATGATATAAATTGCGGATTAAATTTGTTTTTTAAGAAAATACAGTACCTGATGAAGACATTTAAGAGAAATAAATGCTTTTGTACAAGTTGGAAGCAGGAAGCTAGGTCAAGATGGACGAGTCTGCGCTCTGATAACAAATCTCAGTGGCTTAGGAGAGCACACGTGTATTTACTGCAGGTAGATGGGGCTTCTTCTACATCCAGCGTCACGCATCCAGTCCTCCTCCATCTCAAAGTGGTTTCCAAAGTTGCTGCAGCCCGAGGAGGGAGAGATGGAAGAGACCAGCCGGCTCTCACCTGCCTCAGCCCATGTCACTTCCCCATGACCAAAACTAGTCCCATGGCCCCAAACTTACTGCAAAGTAGATTGGAAAATGCAGGAGGGCGCATAGAATGCAGTGCGTGTCTCTGCTAACATGGCTATAACTCTTTTCATTTTACAGTTACTGTGATGAATGTATGTTGGATCCAGACTGTGGTTTCTGCTATAAGATGAATAAATCAATCGTCATTGACTCCTCCTGTGTTCCAGTTAATAAAGCGTCCACAAATGAGGCAGCCTGGGGCAGGTATGTCACTCATTACATGCCATAAGAATGTACAATACGATTTCAGAATGAGATTTATTTTTAAACTTACAGAATGACTGCACTTATAGTCAATGACTGTACCTCTTTTAAACTGGTCTTCTTTTAAAGAATCTGTGAAACCGGTCTTTATAATTACATTACTTTGCAGCATATTCTGATGAGAATGTGCGCACAGCATTGCAACTGTATGTTTCACAAATTTAGAGTAGAAACTCACGCTTAGACTTCTGGAAATCCAAATACCATCTCCAAATCTACCCTAATAAGCTACAGAAGTTTGAATCTTGAGGCAGGTGTTCCTAAATATTGCCAAGACAGTTTCTCCCACTGGGTATTATCTAATTGCACCAATAACTTCCAAACTCCCCAAGTTAAGTGGAAGACGGAAAAACTGTCAAGTCAAAAAGAATTACTATCACTTTAAAGTCTTTAAATTCTTTTATACTTAGGGTACTTTCCTAGAAGTCAGAGAAATTAGGTAAAGTTGGCAATCATGGGCATGTAACCGGTTTGAGAAACTGTAAACCCTTCTTTTTTTTGACAGATCACATTGGTTTGTAGGAGGCACATAAATGAAATATTTGTGTAGAACAAATATACCTCATAATTATGAACTAATATTCATATTTATGGACACAAAATATGTAAATGTTATTTGATATGGCTTTGACCTCTTCTGTGTTTTAAATTCTCATAAAAAGCGTAGCATTCTCTCATTCTGTCTGCCTCCTAATACTGATGATGAAGGCAATGGAATCTGTAACAAAGCGCTTATATCTCTTAGGAGCCATAAAATAAAATGTATCATTATTAATCATTATACTGTTGTCATTAATCCTTTCATTAGAGAATTATTCCAAAGAGGTAGAAATAAATTATATGGTAATTGGGTGAAAATCCAGACCACATTTTAAATACACTGATTAAAAAGAAATGCATAAAAGAAATGCAATTACTACTTAAAATGAAAACTTGAAAGAGATTCTTTTAAAAACACTCAGTGTATAATTTTCATCAAACTTTATTACAAAGTTAATTGGTTAAATATTTCTGGATGTAATAGTTTACAGTTTTAGTCCTTATTTTTTTTAGTAGAAAAAAAAACCTTGCAAGTTACCAGTCTAGAATTATGAACATGTTACGAAATATGTGTATGTAGTTTCATGTATTTCATGGAATTAGTTTACAGACTTACTGGAAATGTCTACTAATGGTAAGAGGACATTAAAATTAGATGTTTCATCCTCAGTAGAAGGTCTAGAGGTCAGAGTTTTGTTCTTTTTGCAAATAGCAAATTGTACAACATTTTAATAGAAATGTGTATTACTTCTTTTAGTTCAACTTATTAGATTTTATTTATATTTTTGTACCATTATTCCTTGACTGCACACATTACTAGAGAAAAGTGAGGCCAGATAATACCCAAGTAGGAAAAATACAAAGAACTAAACAAAATATACAAAGAACTTTTATGCTTGTATAATATTCTTAGAATAATCTCAAACTCTTTACCCTACCTTCCTTAAAAAAAAAAAAAGACTTTCTCCCTCTTCTCTGTGATGAGTAGTAACCCTCCTCCTAGCTTGGCCACTCTGGTGGGTCGCCTCAGTCTGTCCTAGAAAGAAAGCGAAAAATGCAGGATGTGTTTACCATGAAGAATTCCTACAACAGATTGTCCATTTGTAGGTAAAATAGCATTCGCTGTATTTTCATGTGTTGGTTGACTGATAAGTTTTATGCAATTACCTAGAATGGAATTTTCAGGGCAAGATCTACCATTACTTGGATTCATATCTGAGATATACTATTTATAGACGTCTTAGGGTCAGGTATTGAGGCAATTCACAGCCATAAATTCTGATCTCTAATTGTAGCCATTTCCTGAAAAGACACCACCGGGAATGGTAATACCATTCATGATGGGGATAGTATGCCGATTTTGACGTACTCTGAATTGTCTCCACATGATGAAAACCATTTGTCCAGAAACAAAACTTTAAGTCAATCAGCATGCTCTTCTATATCTATGTTGTTAAATTTCAATCAAAAGATTTTTTTGTTGAATCATTTAGTTTTCCAAATAGATATACAAATGGCCAAAAAGCACATGAAAAACTGTTCCGTATCACTAATGGCTAGGGAAATGCAAGTCAAAACTACAGTGAGCTATTATCTCAGACCCATTAGGTTAGCTACCATCATAAAAGCAAAACAACAATTGTCATGGAGGATATAGAGAAATTAGAAACTGTATGCACTGTTGATAGGAATGTAAAATGGTGCAGCCACTATGGAAAACAGTGTGGCAGTTTCACAAAATTTTAAAATAGAATTAAATATTATCTAATAATTCAATTTCTGGATATATATCAAAAAATATCGAAAGCAAGGTCTTGAAAGGATATTTGAATACCAATGTTCATAGCATTATTCACAATAGCCAAAAGATGGAAGCAACCCAAGTGTTATTTGACAGATGGATAGATAAACAAAATATGTATACGTACAATGATATATTATCCACATTTAAAGGAAGTAAATTCTGGTGCGTACTACATGAGTGAAACTTGAAGATATGATGATAGGTAAAATAAGCCAATAGTTAAAAGACAAATAACCACGTGACTCCACTACTGTGAGGTACCTACAGTAGTCAGGTTTATGAGAGACAAGAGAGGAATGGTGGTTTCTACAGGTAAAGGGAAGAGAGGAATAGGGCATTGTTATTTGATGGGTATGAAGTTTGTTTTGCAGAATGAACTGAGTTTTGCATCCATTGAGATGATCATGAGATTTTTGTCCGTCCTCTTGTTGATGCAGTATATCAATGAAGTTACTGATTGATTTGCGGATGTTGAACCATCCTTGTGTCCCTGGGATGAATCCAACTTCATCATGATGTATGATCTTTTTTATGTGCTGCTGGATTCTGTTTGCTAATATTTTGTTGAGGATTTTTGCATCTATGTTCATCAATGGTATTAGCCAGTAATTTTCTTTTTTGGTAGTGTCTTTGTCTGGTTTTGGTATCAGGGTGATGGTGGCTTCATAGAATGAGTTTGGGAGTATCCCCTCCTTTTCAATCTTTTGGAAGAGTTTGAGAAAGATTGGTATGAGTTCTTCCTTGTATGTTTGGTAGAATTCCCCAGTGAAGCCATCTGGGACTGGACTTTTGTTTGCAGGGAGGTTTTTTAATTGCTGATTCTATTTCATTTCTAGTGAGCAGTCTGTTCAAGTGGTCTATTTCTTCTTGATTCAGTCTTGGTGGACTGCATGTTTCCAGAAACTTGTCCATTTCTTGTAGGTTGTCCAATTTGTTTCCATATAGTTGTTCATAGTATTCTCTTATGATATTTTGTATTTTGTTTGTATGAATTGAGTTTTGGAGATTGCTTGCACAATAAGCTGAAGACACTGAGCTGATGGAAAACCTTCTCCTGCCCATCATCCCCCATACCTCCTACACACACTTGCAAACACAGGTTTAATTCACCACTATACTAGAAAGAAATGTCCAGGTGCCACCAAGGAGAGTGAGAGCAGTGAGCCCATGTGGAAACCCGACAGTCCATGGGACTATCAGAAGAGAAGCCTGCCTCCAGGGGGTGAGGCTAGTGTCTTAGGTGCTGAGGAAGACAGAGAAGTTGCCTCTGGAGCTATAATAGGCTATCTTGGCTCTGAAACAGAGAGAAGAAAAGCTGCTGGGCTGGGCTGGGCAAGCTGCCAACTTCTCTGCCACCCTCTTGGGACCTTGAGTAGAGATAGTGTCACATATGAGAAAGCAAAACCAGGAGCCTTTGCTTTGGGGAAGTATGCTTTCTCATCTTACCCTGCCTTTGTGAAGGGGGAACCATAAGTTGAGAAACATGAATAGTAAAAAATGTGAGTCGCAAATGGGACACATCCATAGAGCTAACTCAGAAATAAACATGCAGTTGTCAGAACCCAGGACACATGAGACTTCCATGGAAAGCAAATATGAGATGGCAGTCAAAAATTTAAAACTACACTAATTTATGAAGGAAAGAAAGCCACCAAGTGTGACAGGTAAAAGAATGAATACCTAGAGAACCTTGCATACAAAAGAAAATTTTTAAGACTTTAATATGTTTAAAAGAAATAAAGGAAATAGTATAATTTTTTCATTATACTGAAAGCTGCACACTTATGATTTGTGCAGTGTATGAGTTTGTATGTGTGTATATATATATGTACACATATATAACAAATTAATCCTTAAGTAAACTTTGCAGAAAAAATCTTGGAAAGCTAAAATTCTAGATAAATAACATAAATGTGGTATGGGAACTTTTTTTTTTAAAGCCCTCTAAATTCTTTTGTTTGTTTTCAGAAAGAAATGGAGATTACAATTAGTTTTACAACTTGATAAATATAGATGTTAAAAGTATAAGTGTACTTTTAAAAATATATACTAGTACAAGAGAATTAATCAAACTAATAAAGGCAAGAAAAGGGAAAATTATAAGAGGAAAAAACCATGGTTAAAAGAAAGCACCAAAAAAATAGCAAAATTAGTTACATGTAAATATACCTGTCATTAGAGTAAAAATAACTAAGTAAAACATACCTATTAAAGACAAAGATCCTCATGCCAGATTCTTTTGATGCAGTTGTATTTTGTTTACAAGAGACAGTGATAGAAAGTTAGAAATAAAGGAGTGGAAAAAATTGGGTAAGTTTTTTTTTTTGTCAAGAAGACAAAAAAATAGCAGAGATCAGAGAATTCAGAAAACTTACTAACAAGCTTGATGTAAGAGTTAAATAATGAACCTAACACATAGAGAATTCCATTCTTTTTAAGCAAACATAGAACACTTATAAAAATTTATCACATTGAAGCACAAGGAGTAAATTTATATAAATGTAAATTCCAGAAAATTCTAAGTGAATCCAGCTAATGTTGTGTAAAAGTCTTTTCTAACCAAAATGCAATAATAATACCGTCAAGCAAGAGAAAG